GACCCGCGGGGGGCATTGCATGCTCCGGCCCCTCTGCGCACCCCCCACCCCCCGTCCCACCCACTGACCCCAGTCCGATCAGGGATGCAGGCTGGGAGAGGACGGCAGGTGGTGCGAGATTTGCGTTGCCTTCTCTAGCACACACACTCGTGCACAGTCGGGGGGCTCTTGCTCCCCCTCTTCTAACCCCGAGCAACTGTCTCCCCACTCACCAGGCCAGGCACAGGGAGGGGTTGGCCTGGGGGGCTTGGGAAGACCCCCTTCCCAGGCGCTGGGCCACCTAGCCGGAGCATTCCTCAGCCTCTGCCCCCCTGCAGCCCCTTGGGACTCACAGGGGCCCCGGGTTCTCAGGACCCCTCCCGCCACCACCTCCCAGTGCTTCCACGTTCCAAAAGCACCTTCCTGTCTCCCTCGTCTGGCCCTGCGCCCGGGGGCTGGGGTAGGCGCGGCCATGAGGACTGCCCGTTTTACAGCTGAGGAAACTGGGGCTCAGAGAAACTCCATGACCGACCTAAGGTGGCGGGCGGTGGCAGGCCCAGCGCCCTTCTCTTCCCCCACCTGTGCTCAGCCTCTCTTGCCGCCACCAGCCCCCTGGGGCCTGAGAGGGGCAGGTCCTGAGAGGGGGGCCCTTGGGGGCAGACCGAGGGTCTCTGAGGATAGAAGGAGAGGTTTCCGGGGCTCGCAGAAGCGTGAGGGTGTGCGTGTGTGTGTGTGCGGGCGTGCGTGTGTAGAAGTTTTGCTTTTAAACAGATGAAGACGTGAGAGGCAGTAGGACCAGGGGTGGAACCCAGGGGAGCAGGCTGGGGAGCTGCTGCCTTTCCCTCCCTTCCCCACCCCACCCTGACCCCCCCAAGGCAGGGCTCCCAGCCCCCAGCCCCTGTACATACTTTTTAAAACATGTTTTTAGCTAATGAAATATTGAAGTATAAGATTCCTATTATTTTTCAAACCAACGGGACCGTGTCTGATGTCCCCTTCGGTCCTCGGGGCTGTGGAAGGCAGGACGGAGTGGGGAGCCGGGGGCAGGCTGAATGTGCGCGTGTGTGTGGAGTGGGGGCGCGCGTTGCCGAGGGGGGCCCCCCAGGCCCCGCTCTGCCTGGGCTCCCGTGGGTCTGGCCGGCTTCCACTCAACCCCAGGGCCTTCCTCCAAGGGCTACATTGCAAGGTCCGGTTGGCTGAGTCCAGCTCCTGGCAGGGCCGGGTCCGCTTCATGGTTACAGATCGTTTGCCGAATCTTCTTTTACCATTCCTCTCTTTCTATCCTTGCCTAGCTCCGTGAGTGGTTTTGTGGATTTTTTGAGTTCTACGTGTAAACTTGGAGGGTTCTTTTTGTTTTTTAACGCCCCCCCCCCGCACCCCTCCCCACACACGCTGGATGTCATTTCTTTGCAGTTTGCATTTTTGTCTCCAGCCCTGGTTCTCAAGGCCTCTGTCTCCGAGCAGTCTGACTAGCCCATTGCTCCCAGCAGCCTCTCTCTCTCCAAAGGCAAGGGGATTACAGGAGGTGGGGTGGGGGCCAGCTGGACCACTGGGATCTGACCTGGAGGCCTGCGCCCCCCCCCAGGAGCCCCTGCCAGCCTGCGGGGAGCGGGTCCTTTCTGACGTCTGCTTGCTGCGAGGGGGAGGGTCAGTCCAGCGGGGCCCTGGTGCTCTGCTTTCCTGGCCCAGCCCCAGTACCTTAGCCCTCAGCCGGCCCGAGTGCGTGGGGCGGGGGGGGGTGGGGGTCGACAGCCCCAGCTAAAGCATGAGCACCTTAGTCACACCTCCCCTGCCCCCTCATCCTGGCCTTGACACCCCACCCCAGAGTAGATCCCAAAGCACAATATCCTGGTCACTTGGCAAGCTGCCTGGCCGACCAAGCAGGGGTGGGCTGGGGCTCCAGCCAGATCCCCAAAGGAAGCAGGAGTCCCCAGGCGCTCCCGTCCTTCCAGGCCTCAGCGGGGGCCAGCTGTGTGGGACTGGGGTCTTCTCCCTCCCCACCCCCTTGTCCTGGGCAGGCCCCTGTCCAGCCCCTCCTGGCCTTGTCCTCGGGTGGGGCTTGCCCCGTCCCTCCAAGCCCCTGCAGCACGGGGTTGGGTGGCAGAGCGCTCTTGTTTCAGGGACTCCAGGAGGTGCCCCTGGCTCCCTGGACTGTGTGTATAGGTCTGGGGAGGGGGCGGGGGAGAGGGGCGGGGCAGGGGCGCAGGGGAGGAAACTCCTCACCAGGAGAGCCAAAGACAGGGGGTTGTACCTTACCCCAGGAGCCACCCCTGCGCCCTCCCGCCCTGCCCTCCCCGCTCTTGGGCGGCCTGCTGCTTTTCCTGCTTTCCCTTCCCCTAGCCCTGCCCTGCCCTGAGCTGCATGGACCCCCCACCCCCGGGCAGCCAGGATGGAACATGAATGGAGAATCACTGACCAACGCAAAAAAGACTCTGGGGGACCCCCTCCACGTCCCCCGGCCGCCCATTCACCCATGTCTCTTTCACGAAGCACAGATCACCCGCCTCGTCCGCGGGGAGTGCCAACACCCTCCCTGCCCTGGGCCCAGCCCCTCCTCCGGCCCATAAGTGAGATTAAACATTAACTACTGTAAGAGGAGCCGCCCTGGGAAATGTGAACCATGAGACTATCAGTGATACTGATGAGAATAAACTAAATGCCTTTGTAACAAAAAAAACAAAAAAGATATAAATTCATTCTACAAAACAGAACCACAATTCCAAAACCCAGCTAAGGTAAACAATTATTTTAAGAAAACCTTAATGAATACAGATCCAATAACTTCTTAACAACTTGAAAACAAACAGAATTCTAGAGCGTATTAAAGGCACAGTATGTTGTGATACAATTTTTATAACAGGATGCAATGACGGTTCAGGGTTTGGAAATCTATACCAAAGAAGTTTTCAGTGTTGAAGCCTCCTTTTTTCAATTATTTGACAAACGTTCCTTCATTTATTCAGCAAAAATTTACCATGTATTATATATATGCCAGGCACTGAATACTAGGAATTCAGTGGTGAAAAAATGAGGTCCTGGACTTCATGGAGACATCTAGAGAGATACAAATAAAAATAAAATGTTAATACAATAAAAAGGCTGTAAGAGAAATACAGGGAGTACCATAGGAATACATAAATTGGCACGCAAACATTAGGGTGCTGTTGGAATAACCCTGTTGCAATGATGATTGCCCATTCTAGGATGGTGGCAGTGGATACAGATAAGATGGGCCTACACAACGTAATCAGAAAGTGGTATAAAATTTTCTGATTGACTAGATGGAGAAGAGTGGAGTCAGAGATTCTTTGGGGGGATCTTAATGTATTATGTATAAAAGGGTAAAGAAAGGGTCAAGTAAGTTCAAAAAATACTGTTAGGTATAAACATTACTGCAGCACTTGTCAGCTTCATGGCACTTTCTCATTAAGAGAGAGTCACGGTGTTAGATAGTACATAATGTTTACCATACATTTGACTACGGAACCCTGTTATTTTTGCAGAACACCTTGTGAGAGTACTGTTTCATGGAACACACTCTGGGAGAAACTGCTTTCCATAAAAACAATCTCTTCCTTTCTACTCCTGCAGCTCTCAATACCTCGGTGAATTGTCTCACCAGCTATATTCAATTCTTTGTGGCTGTCTTGTTCTATCCCTTTACACAGTACATATATTTAGTTTGGTTACTTTCAACTGGATGAGGGTGAAGTGAAAGATTCACTGGAACCTCAGAAGGGGTGTCCCAAAAAGCATTAAAAAAGAAAAAAATTATTCTGGACCAGGGTCACCTGTGAATCAACAGGAACAGACCTGAGCCACAGATAAGTCGCAATAAAGCAGTATTAATCTTTGTTAATATCTACAAACGCTACTGAGTAAATTTTCATATAGGTCAGACACCTGAAAATAACAGGCTCGTTGGAAACAAATCCTTCTACTATGAAACTGCTTAAGCAACAGAAACTTGATTTGAACGCTCTGTGCTGAGTAATTGGATAGCTAGCTCCATTTACCTGGACTCAGAAGAGCTGCATGCATTTAGAAACAGAGAAAACCAAATGTACAAACTCCTAGAGACTAGGGAGGGTAACTAAATTAGTTTACAGTGCTCGGAAACATAAACCATGTGTTACTGAAAATCTGATTCTAAAATATAAGTTTGATATGTTCAAAAGGTATATTTCAGGATACTCTAACACCACGCAATCACTGAATAAAAGTATGCTGCTAGCTTCTTGTGTACAATGTTAGTGATGTCAAAAAAAAAGACACACCCCTCCTTTTTGTTTTCAATATATTAAAAAGCAACATAGTACAAATGTTGTAGTTAATATTAAAAAGGATCCAAATTTTTCAAGGAATTAATTTTTATAAACAAGTTCTACAATGAAAGGGAAACGGCATATTGATACATAAAAGTTTTGTTAAACAAGATTTTAAATCAAAGTGTTTTAGACTAAATTCTTTCAAATGTTCAAACAAAAAAGAACCCTGTACAATCTCCATAATAAAATGTGTCCTTGCACTTTGAAAATGTTAAAAGTTTAGAAATTTGAGTGATAGAGGCAGCACTTAAAGGTTTCATGAACCTTTTTTCCCAAAAAAGAATACTTTCAGTAAAACATTTTACTATTTTATCTGACTATGCATTTACATTTTTGTTCTTCCAGAAAAAGGTTTACATTAACACTGTATTTTTACTGTAAAAAAAATACATTTAGAGATATTTAACTTCCTGAGTGACTTCAGTCATACATCGAACATGTTTGTTGTTTTTTTTGTGTGTGTGGTACGCGGGCCTCTCACTGTTGCGGCCTCTCCTGTTGCGGAACACAGGCTCTGGACGCACAGGCTCAGCGGCCATGGCTCACGGGCCCAGCCGCTCCGCGGCATGTGGGATCTTCCCGGACCGGGGCACAAACCCGTGTCCCCTGCATCGGCAGGTGGACTCTCAACCACTGTGCCACCAGGGAAGCCCATCGAACATGTTTTAATGAGCAAATTCTAAAATTTTACAATGAAATAGCATGTGTAGATGTATACTTGTATGCTCACTTACAGTAAAACTCAAGATCATGTCACAGAACTTACACTTAAGTTCTCTAAGTTAAATAATATGATTTATCCCCAAACTTGACCAAAAGGTTTTCTCAAATATTAGTAAAATGAATCACTGAATTTACATTTTCTCGTTTAGTAACAAAATACTGAGTCATTTCAGACTATCAACTTGAATGTTTTCCATTATATACACCAAAAATCTGATTCCCTAACAAGAAATTTCTTGTAATACAAAAAGATAACAGATAATTAAAATATTTGCTTCATAATACAACTAATCCAAATAATACATCCCTTCCTCAATTGTCTAAAATGATTAGGAATTGTGCACTTTCTTTAGCATAAAACCCTTTCCTCTTCTTAAAACCCTGAGGTGAAAGGTTATTAATGTAATAAAACTAGAACCACAATTCTCATTTCTGTATTGGACTGCAATTAGGTTTTAAAAATTTTATAAAGAAATGTGCCAACTTGTAAAGCTGCTCTATAGACTTTTTTAAAGAAAACATTCCCAGAAACAACAAAAAGGGCCTAGAATGACACTATGGAAACATCCTTTTAACACTTGTTAGTGTCGAGATGAGCGCCATTTTCCATCTCTACCACTGTCTCTTCTGTTATCATAGTCATGGCTCCAGCCATCGGGATTTCTCTCTTCATAGAAGAAATCATCTCTGCTTCCTCTGTAATGATGGTCGGACTCATGATCAGTGTAACGCTGTTCACGGCTATAATGTCTATCCGCTACGTAGGTATGAGAATTCTGTCTGACTTTTCGCTGTGATAATGGTGTATCTTGGCGCCACTGGGAGGTTGAAGACCGGTTAAAAGTGTGATTATGTGACTGAACTGATGGGGAAAATCCTGATTGATCCAGATGCGGAGAACCAAATTTCCCTCCATATGACATCTGTCTCAAGACACTGTTCATCTGAGCGAAGAGAAAAAGAAGGAAATGTGTTAACCACAAATATTTCTAGATAGCAAAGGCAACAGATATCAAGCCATGGTCAAACGAACACAATAATGGAAAAGCAAAATCATTCTTGCCTAGCTGAATCTTAAGGTAAACACAACTAAAGTAGTACAATAGCTTCATTCATTCCAATGTATACCTACAAGATATCTGTACTACTACTCTTTGTCCTCCAGAATATAATTTAGAAGGGAAGAAGTAATACAAAATGACTATAATGTAAATCACTGTATGATGAACACATTAAAAGCAAAAGCTCAGTATCTTTAGGAAGGATTTAATGAAGGCGACATATGATCTGAGTATTAAAAGTATGGATGTAATTTTTTTTTTTTTGGCCATGCCGCACGGCTTGCAGGATCTTAGTTCCCCAACCAGGGATCGAACTCACACCCTCGGCAGTGAAAGCGTGTAGTCCTAACTACTGGACCACCAGGGAATTCCCTGGATGGAGTTTTTTAAGGAAAATATTTTAAGGGGGAGGTATGTCAAGGAAAGAAGACTGCACAAACAAAAATAACAGGGAAACACAGAATAGTTCATAGAATAGCAAGTAATTCTGGCTAAGACAGGTTATAGATCTCATGAGCCATGACTCATGGACGGTAAAGCTAGAAAGGTTTATTGGAATCAGATAATGGGAGCAAAAACACAAGGCTAGGGCTTCCCTGGTAGCGCAGTGGTTAAGAATCCGCCTTCCAATGCAGGGGACACGGGTTCGAGCCCTGGTCCGGGAAGATCCCACATGCTGTGGAGCAACTGAGCCCATGCGCCACCATAACTACTGAGCCTTCACTCTAGAGCCTGTCCTCCGCAACAAGAGAAGCCACTGCAATGAGAAGCCCGCTAGCCACAACTAGAGAAAGCCTGCACGCAGCAACGAAGACCCAATGCAGCCAAAAATAAATAAATAAAATATGAAATTTATATTTAAAAATTCACCAGGAAGATAAGCAAAACAGAGTTATAATAGTAATTTTGAAATGGTGTGTGAGATGGACTAGTGAGAAGAAAATAGATACAAGTACTAAGTGACTAGACGAGTGGTTCCCAAATTCTGCCTGTGGACAGACATTAGCTAATGACGATTATTTTTTTAATGGTCTACAGCAAAATAAGAAAAATATATAATATGTTTATAAAAGTTGATATCTCTTTATATTGGTCTCTCAATTTTATTTTATTTCACTTATATTTTTATTCTGCAGACCTGTGCAATACAAAAGCCTAGGGACCACAATTCAAGATTGTGATTTGGGCAAAGAAAATAAAAAGGAAGAAACAAACGTAAGAAAAAGAAAAGAATGAAGGATCTGAGACTGATCAAAGACAAAGATGCAACAGCAAAAGATACTTAAGATTTTATCATTGGTGATACTATTACAGAAAAAAATGGCATGTTCACAAGGGAGGTGGTCTAGAAGACTGTAGTATAGTAATGTATTAAGTATTAAAGACAGTACATGATGAGAAGTTACTCGGCACAGGTTGCAAGAACATCAGAGAATGAGTATCCAATATTTGCAACACACACACACATCACACCAACAATGGTTAAAGAAAAATACAAATGTGACAAAGCAGTTCTTCTTTTTATCTTCAATCTTTTAAATATATATTTCAGCCCAGTGAAAACTAAAATGAGTGATCTACAAAGATCATGCTAGTCTAACTAAAATTTAAGAAATGAACTTAAGAATTAAGAATGAATGTTTTAACTAAGTACGAGTTTTTTAGCAACTCGAGTTGAACAATCAGCTTACCACTGCTTGTCTCTGAAAATTTTCTGAAGAAGAAAAAGATCTTTGAATTATTGGTGTTGATGGGGTCATGTTATCCACTGGCCTTTCGTACCTGTGAAAAGTAAGAAAACCAACATATAATCATTCATTCAGTAAATGTTTACTACATACCAATCCTGAGCAAGACACAGTTTTCAAAGACAGGAATGAACAAGACCAACAAGGTATCTGTTCTCATGGAGCTGGGGTAAGGATTCAGACAAGACAATTTCACATGGTTATAAAGACATAGTAATAAATGACTAAAGAGCAAGTTGAGGTGAGAGAGATAGGCGGTTCTATTTTAGCTTGACTGGTCAGGACTGGCCTTTCTAAAAAGGAGACATTTGAAGTTACAGCTGAACAAGATTATCTGGAGGCAACACACTCCAGCTGAGGGAAGGACTAGTGCAGGGGGAAGCAAACTATAGCCTGTGTGCCAAACTCAGTTTGTGTAAACAAAGTTTTACTAGAACTTAGCCAGGCTCTTTTGTTTTGGCATTATCTGTGTGGTGCTACAATGGCAGAAGAAACTAGTCCTTTATAGAAAAAAAAAAATTGTGTCAATTTATAGAAAAAAAATTGTCAATACCTGGGCCAGTAATGCAAAGGCCTAGACTGAGAACTAAAATGAAAAGGATTTGATCAATTAGACATAACAGGTGAGGGAACCAGAAGAACTAAAAGATAAAAATCTAGATTTTTGGCTTGAGCAATTAGGTAGACCTTTACTGAGATAAGAAGAAAGAATAATAGGTTTGGGGGAGTAAGGAGTTCTGTAACATAAAAAGAATATTAATCTTAAGGACTTAAACCTTATTCCTCACTTCCTATAGAGTAACTTGCTCTACAGAAAAACTCAGAAAGGTTTTAATTTTATTTTAAAATATGCCTTTGGAAGCAAATCACCAAGATTTGGGATTAAATCACCAAGAATCAAATCATCAAGATTTATCTTACAGTTTAGATCTTTTTATTTTGGGTTTTCTTCTTTTTTTTAAGCAGAACTGATTTTATTTGTATGCTGTAAAGAAAGCTACTTTTTTTAAAAAGAACTTTTATTCTTTATATATATGTATATAAAAATATATATATAAAAATAAACCCGTGCCCCCTGCAGAAGAAGTACGGAGACTTAACCACTGGACCGCCAGGGAAGTGCCATATTTTGGGTTTTCTTAAATCGGATTATGTACCTGTATGCTAAGGGGGTAAAAAGTATAATTTTACTTACAGAGAGTATAAAAATCAGGTACACTCTAGTGTTTGATTAAAACTACAGTATTTACTTGCATATTTCTTTCCCCAAGAATTTCTAAGAAGGGTTAAAAACTCTTTTTTTTCCCTCCACCTAAGATACCTTTCAAGAGTCCAGAAAAGTGGTTAGAGATGCTTCGAATTCCAACTACACTGAAAAGCATTTAAACACAATTAACTTCAGCTGGCAAGAAAAGACTCTAAGAGGGTACCCTTTCCACGTTACTGCTCTCTTACAATTTTCACCTTCCAAACTCTTTTCATATCCGCCCACTTCTCTCCAGCTCCTGGCACCACCCTAATCCAAAGCCCCAACCTCACTCCCATGGCTTCCTTGCTACTAACACCAATACCTTGCTACCAACAGCTTCCTAGTCACCCTTGTCCCCTTCAATCCATTCTCTCCCAGTACAACCAACTAACTCATTACAATACAAACCTGTTCCTCTTACTACCCTACTGAAAACGTTTCAATGTCTTCCTACTGTTCTTAGGGTGAAATTCCAAAATCCTAATTATGGCCTATAAGAAAGACCCTGTATCATTTGCCTCTGTCTACTTCAACAGTATCATCTACTACTCTCCATTTTCTATTCATTATGATCTAGGTACACTGCCCTCTTCCAAGTCCTCATTCACTTACCTCTCCTTGTTAAAACTTTCTAGAAACTTTCTACTCGTATCATGGTGGGTGTGCCTGGGTTTGAAAACAAGCCCACTGCTTATGAGCAGTTCACGCTTGAGCAAGTTAACCCCCAACCTTCATTTTCTTCATACATAAGGTAGAGATAATAATAATCCTTGCCTCATAAATCTACTGTGAGGAATAAATGAGATCATAGGTGCAAAGGACTTGGCGAAGAACCTGACAGGTGACAGGTATTTGTTAACTCTTTCTTGAATGAAGCCATAAATTGATAAATAGCTCTATGGACATACCGGGAAGAAACCGTCCCTGGCAAAATAGCAGCCTCCCCAAAGAAAATTATTAGTAAATATAAATATGGTACCTCTTCCAATCCTCAGTAGCTAAGAGGTATTTCAGAGATCATTCAAATCAACTTCTTTTCCTTACAAATGGAAAGACAGGGACATAGACTAGCTCAAGATTACACAATTGGTAGAGACAGATCCAGAATCCGATTCTATGAACTCTTAGTCCAGTAGTCTGTTTACTAACAGGTATTTTTAAACTGCAAGCAACAACCATTTAGTGGTCATAAAACTAATGTGATTTTTTGAAAAATAAAATAAAATAGAAAATAGAGGATACTACAAGTAGTAAGGCTAAGTAATGTTTTGAGAAATTTCGTCTCAGTTATATACATGTATGTGGGTGTGGGTATGTCTTTACAAATGAACATAAATATAGTTATGTACGTATCTATTTTAAGGGAACTATATATAATGGGCCTATAGTCCCCTTAAAATAGATACATATATAACTATAATCCAACGTAGCAAATATAGAAGAATAAAGAGGTAGGAGCATAAAGAAAGAAACCAATCACTCATTATGCATTTTGAAGTCACTGCCTAAAAAAATTCCTGATAAATGATTTTAAAAATAGGTGAGAAATATTACCTGCTAGGAGATGTGGAAGTAGGGCTTGAACTTCCAACATGATGCTGGGGATATGACGAACTGACCTCCTGTGAGGCATGGCTACTTCCTAAAATGAAACAAGTTGAGAAGTTCTTATTGATAAAAAACTTAATTTGAAATTTTGTATCCCTCAGCCCAATCACTCCGAAAAAGGTAGACATAGGCTAAAAGTGAAAACCTCAAATTTCAGTAAATTGCTTTATAGGTCATCAGAGTGAAAATTGTTAAGTGTTTAATACCAAATATACCCAAAGCAAAGGGTTCCAAATAAGGTACTTTCCAATGTATAAATACCCAATCTGGCCATAGTATTCTGATCCCCACACTAAATTGTAAGAATGACTACAAGGAAAGTTTCATCCTTATATGATCACACATCAAAATTTGTAAAAGTAAATTACAAAGCAGTCAGGAAAAGTATTTTTAGGAAATAATCCTTGTGCTTTTAGAGTGTGAACCCAAACTCAGTCATTTTAATAATAAGGTTTATGTTCTTTTCACAAACCCAAACTGAAATTTTAACTCTCATTTTAAAATTACAGCTTTCAAAATCCATACTGCCAATGTTACCCATTTTCAGGGATATATAAAGTTTACTATTCATAAAGCTTAAAGCATTTTCATCCAAAAATAGGTTCTTTAAATAACAGAATTAAAAACAAAGCGGCAAACAACCTCTCTCCTAAACATCATCAGTGAATAGTTACCTGATCTAAACTGAATTTTGATGGGCCTTCCAAAAAGTTTGATTCCGTTAAGCAGATTCATGGCATAAGGAACAGATACTTCATGTTTGAAATTCACAAACGCAAACTGCTTTGGTTTACCATCCTTATCTTTTGGAATTTTCACTTTTATTACTGGCCCAGCCTACAGACAAAAAAAGTTTTTAGAATTTCAGTAAGGCAGTTTCAGGAAAATAATCAAACTTTACAAAGTTTAAAAAATTCAAAAATGTAACCAGGGACTCTAATTTTAAAAATGGATACACTCGGATTTCCATCTCGGTTAAAGATCCTGTAGATATGACCGAAAATTAGATTAACTTACTTGGAGGGAGGGAGCCCATAAGGAACCGGAAACCCAATCACCGACTGAATTTACATTTCACAGCACTTTATGACTTTAACAAGGCTACCAACATCCATCATTATCCCACTGCGTGGAAATGAACCTTTATCAAGAGTAAGAGAAAGTAGTTTTCTTGGACTAAAAATTCACTTTTGTATCGACTAATCAAACATTACCAGTTGTTGAAAGACAGAACTGGAGGGAACAGGTTTAACGCATCTTGATACAGATTTTAATACATAAACACTACAGTGCCGCTCTCCTACAGAGTATTTATGAGTCTGTCTTTGCTGCAACTTCGTAAGAAACTTAAGTGGAAAACGGATACTAAGAAAAAAATTGAAATAAAATTTACAAGCGTTAGATGAGAAAAGCAGGAAAAGGAAAAGCACAGCTCAACGAAGGACCCACGCGTACGAGGTCGCTTAAGAGCACTGACTCTTTACCACGTGAATGCCCGACAGAGGACCCTCCACCACCTTTAGTCGTTACTTCGGCCTGAACTAACCAGGATCCTTCTAATAAAGCGACACGTAGCGAGCGCCTCCCTTTCTAAGCGCGACCCCCACCTCCAGCCCGCCCACCTGTCCGGTGCCGGGACGAACCGTGCCACTTGAGCCAGGAAAGCGGGGATGGCCATTGGGCCGGGCCCTACCCGGGCCGGAAAACGAAAGGGAAAGGCTGATCCCAGCCGCTTACCTGGTGGAAAAGCTCGAAAAGGAGCTCCTCTGTCACTTTCGTTTCAAGGTTGCCCACAAAGAGAGTACGATCCGCTTCCGCTGCCGCCGCCCCCATCTCAGCATCGCCCCCTCCCGAAAAAGGCCGAAGGGTCGCCGCCGACGCACCCACTGCGCACTCTCAGAAACCCCACGTCCTCGCGCTCCCAGGCGTCACAGACGTAAACGTCAATCACGTCGGCTCTCAGCGGCGTCAACGTGCGCTGACGGACTGCGCATGCTCGGGAGGAGAGCGCTGGGTTAAAGTGGGTCCTTGATCCGCAGACGCTCAGGTGATGGCTTCCGATGAAGTCGGTCTCAGTGTTCGAGACCGGCTGGACTGATCAGTGGAGCCGCGAAGAGTCCGCCTTGACCGTAGGACATAACACAGATACTGCGGGCAGTGTTTGAAGATGGCCCTGAACTATGTGTCCCTGTCTGCCGGCGATCGAAGAGGCCTGGTGGCCTACCGCTCTTCCCACGGCGACCTCAGCTCGTCGGCCTTAGCGTTGGCGATGGTCTCTGGAGACGGCTTCCTCGTTACCAGTCCCGAGGAGATTCTTCCAGAACCTATTCTTCGGTCCACTGTGCGGCTGAACTTCCGGACCGAGAGCCGTCGGGCGCCTGGTGGCGGCGGGAGCCCGACCCGCTTTATAGAGGGAAGGGAGCAGGAGGCGCGGAGCCGAAGCCGCCAAGCCAGATTTTCACCTTACCCGGGCCGTGCGGTTAAACTCGACCTCCTAAGAAGTGTCCTGCAACAGCGTCTGGTGGCACTTGGAGGTGTTAGCGCAGCCCGTCTTTCAGCTTAAAATGAATACCTCTCTCCGCCCCTCAGCTTGTGAACAAGGCTTCTCTAAAATACTTTCTTGGTGCAACCGAAGTCTTATTTTTAGAGGGACGTCTTTTCAGTTTAATATAAAAATGCGTGGTAGTCCTGTTACTCTAGCCTAGCGCAAAGTAAAATGTTTACAGCTACTTGATTCAGATGGTTTTAAACAGCCATGATGATTAGATCGGAAGGGAGGAGCAGCAGAGATTTTTTTTGAGGTAGTCACAAAGGATGGGATCATCCTTCCCAGAGGTCAGTAATCCTTTTATCCTCCCAACAATGGATCCAAATTTGTCTTGCTTTCCACAAGTCTTACACCTCCTCCCTGGCAGATCCTCCTACTTTGAGACTTATAATTCCGAGTTTCCTTACATGCCTACCTTTCTATCTCAGATTATTCCCTCTGCCTTTACTTCTGTTGGTTTATTACTGTGGCGTATCCTCCCACCTATGGCCCAACACTTCTATCATCTTGTCCTTAAGACTTCTTCCATTCCCCTCCTCCACTTTTTCTTAAGGAATATCTACAAACCAGTCTCTACTAAAACACAAAAGCAAAACCTAAACCTTGCTACTCTCTCAAATTATTAAACCAATTTACATTTCTTTATTTGCCAAAAGTTCCAAATGAATTTTTACACTTATATTTGTCACTTTATTGCTCACATTCAATCCCAGCTTCCTTAATCTGAATCTTGTCCCAAACTATACAAAAATTGGAAACCTTCATCTTACAGTTTCCTCTTAGGAAGTTGCTCATCTGTTCACTCTAGCATCTTCCTTAAACTTTCTCGTTTGTCTTTTGCCATTCCACTATTAAATAGTATTTGAAGGTCTTCTCAGTGCTAAGCACTGTGGATGAACTTTACATAGCCCTGCTATCAAGGAGATCAAGGAGTGTACTCAAGATGGAGAGGCTAATAAATCACCACACTGGACTGTCCATTAGGTGCAGTGATGAAAATAAACCTTGGTTGCCATGGCTCTCCGTAATACTGCACTATCCTGGTTCTTCCCTTATCTGGCTGATCGCTCCTTATCTGCTCATAATTTTGTCTTAACCATACATTCTCCAAGGTTTAAAGGGTGGTACTGGGAGAAATCTAGTGGATTTTGTAAGTGGCAACTCTTTATGTAAGCAGGCAGTGTAGCTTTTTCCCAGCGGACTCTGGTCTGTAATTACGTTCAGATAAAGCAAAATTACCACACACCAAACAATTGAATTGTGAGAACTACATTTTAAGAAGAATATTGACAAACCAGAGAGCTTCTGTAAGAGTGATCAATACAGTGAGAGGTCTGGAAACCAGGTCATAAGAAAATCGTTTGAAAGGATAGTAGCTACGTGTAATATGTGCAAGGCAATGTGCTAGAGGCGATTATTCATTGTTTATTCAGATATTTATTGAGCACTTACTCTGTGCCTGCTAGTAACTATGTTAGGCACTTAGAATAAAGTGGTGAACAAGATAGATAAGGTCTCTGCTCTTATGGAGCTTTATGTATGTCATCTAGTTCTCACAACGGCCCATAACAAAAGTATTATGCTTTCATTTTTTTGCCAAGAAACCAAGGCACAAAGAGATGAAGTAAACTTTCCAAGGTCATACAGCTAGATAGAGCCTTGTAGCCATTCAACCCAGGTTCCTCATTTGAATCACGAAACACCAAAAATGACTTGAGTGACTATTTTCTCAATTCTCGCAAAGATAGTAGCTAACTAATGCTATTCTATCAATAGATATCTGAAAAGAAGTTAATTCATAATATATGGATTCCTTAGGCTGGGTGTGGTTGAGAAAGAATCCCAAACCTACATGCTAAGAATTTTAGATTGGGAAAGAATAATAAAATTAAGGCTGAAGGTAAGAAGGATTTTCATAAAACTTAGAGATGCCTGATGGTGGAAAATACCACCTCACAGGGTAATAAATTAACTCTCCAAAGTTCACGTAGAGGCTAAATTCTGTCAAGTATGAAATAAGACTTATTTTATAAGATGAAAAGTCATAAATGACTTCTTCAGTTCTTTCCCATTTAACCTTTAATTCTATACTTTAAATCATGAACTTGATTAAAATTGAAAATGGAGAATTGGGGGGGGTGAGAAGTGAAAAGTGAGGTATACATTTTTGTATAGGATGTATACATCCAATACATAGGATGACCATATTTACTGTGTAAACCAGGGCACTTGAGAGGGGAAGCGGGGCTATCAATTAATTATGCTTAGGCAATAGGCATAAATAGGGCAGCCACGTTGGATCATATCACCCTAGGAGATGGTACAACATTAAATACACCTTTGAAGCCATATTCCTTAGCTTCAGGGCAAGAAGGCTGAGATTTGTAAACAAAGGAGCAAAAGTTTGGCATGAACGTGCACAAAAGCACACAAGAGGAAGAGGATCCAGTGGGAGTGACTTGATTTCTGTTTGTTCTCACATAGGGTCATCAGGAGTAGGGCTTTGATTGAATAATAAACAGTGTATATGTGCCAGAAAGAAAATGATATGAAAAATATTTGTTTGATAAGAGGAGAACCTTGTTCACATTAATGCTCCATCATTTTATTTTTTTTGGCTGCACCACGCGGCATGTGGGATCTTAGTGCCCTGGACTGGGATCGAGCCCTCGCCCCCTACAGTGAGAGTACGAGATCTTAAGCACTGGGCCGCCAGGGAAGTCCCGATGCTCCATAATTTTAAATCTGAGCCGATGGATGTCTAAATTCTCCTTGTTCTTAACATCTGCACTGGTGTCCAAGTTACAGCATCTGCCTAGAGTCACAAAGACTATTGTGGAAGCAAGGACCAACATAAACCTCTTTAAATGAAACAACTAAGTTTTCCCAAGAGTAGTCCATGTTATTAAAAATCCATATGTTAGTGTACAAAATTACTTTTAATGTAATATCACTGCTCAAGTAGAGCATGTTGTCATTCTAAAATAGATGAATTTTCTAAGACAAAAAATAGTCCCCCAAATTAATACTTCCATAAGTTTTTAAAAAGCCATGGTAACTTCCTTTTTGTTCTAATTGGCCATTGTTTTTTATATCATACTAAGCAACTGACTATTATGTGTCAAAGGGAAGTCCTATTAGTATATTTACTTCCTCTATTCATGAGCTCTAAAACTCTTAAAAAGAATGCCCATTTGGGGCATAGAAAAAAAGGAGGCCAAGGAGATTTTCCCTTAATAGCCAGATTTGGTGCTAAGCCTAATTCTAAGAGGGGTAACTCAGCAGGAAGAAAAGAAAGAAAAGGAGGAAAGTCCTATGGGAGGGAAGAGCAGGTAGACTTAATGGTGAGGCTCAACTGTATTTCGAACAAAATTGTGCCTTTTATTCCTTTGATGAACCTATATCTAGATCCCACTTAGGTGCAGCTTTTGTCTTCCTAATTTCCATGAAAAGTACTCTCATTTTCCTAGCCAACCAAATGTGTAAGTTTGAGTATCTACGACTTCATACCACCTATTTCCTATCTTTATCGCCTGTGTCAATTCGATTGCAAAGTCCTGCTCATTTTATCTTCACAATGTATTTATGTTATGTTTCCATATATACTTTCATCACCTGGACTGTATTTACCTGGACATCTATCCCGTTTTGTTTGCTTCTGTCTCTCTGCATCCTAAATATATATAGCTCCAGATCAATAAGCCCAAAGCATATCTCTCTGATCGCATAGTTAAACTATAACTTTACAGTACCATAAACCCTTCCCGTGTTTCCCGTAGTATATTCCATAGAATCTCTACTAGAAATACAAGGTACTCTTTGGAAAAAAGACGAGGTCGATAAAATTGACAAATGCATGTTTTATCTCCTTCTTAGGGTGCCACAATGTGTAATAACATGTTAAAGGGTCTGATAATTCCTTTAGAAAAGGAAACCTGGGTAACTTCATTTTAACCAATGATTCACAAATGTATTTGTCCATAAATTAAAAATTTTTGCATACTACCTATCTTCCTGAGGAGCCTCAGTTCTACAGAAACAATTAGAAATGGTGCGTACCTAAGAAGCTCCATTGGCTCCCCACGTCAGGTATTAGAAATGGATTTTTATATGATGTGGCAGAATTTAATAAGTTTCCAGAATGTTATGAGTTATGCAAGTGGGTTGGTTTCCTCACTCATGATTTGACAAAGTTCAACCCCATCTTTATTCCACATGGTTTCTGGTACCTGTCTATGTCCTTGGAGATTGGGTGGGAGGATGGAGGCAAGCGTGCAGCTGCAGATTCCCAGCCACTGAGGATCAAGACTGGCTTTGTTACTAAGGAAAGGCGTTAGGAACTTCCCCTGATGAATACAGGTAGGTGCAGTTATTAAGTA